AATCAAATAGGTAGCAGGGCATTGGTCCTCCTCACAACGGGGCAAGAGATAAGGGAAGCTGGACTGGGCTGGGGAGGTGCCCTGTTTGTTCAGAGGAGGCTTGTGAGGGCTGGCTGGTCTGATGTGGTTGAGAGATGCATCCAGACTTTTAGTAGGGTGAGCTGGTTAACATTTGAACAGCACTTTGAAGAGGCAAGTGCTATGGAAATACAAGTCACACCAGCCACGCAACCAGAATTTGCCTAAGGAGAGAGCGCAGAGCTCTCCCTCCTCTGCCTTGCAACCAGCCCCAAGCTCTCTCCCCCAGTACTTTCCCCCTGCACACTCCCTCCCTGCCCCCACAGCCTCTGTACCCAGACCTGCGCTCTGTCCCCTGCATCCAGATCTACACACGCTCCCCTCCTGCTGCCCCATACCCAGCTCCGTATTCTACCCTCCACATTGCCCTGCACCCAGCTCTGAGCTGTATCCGCTGCACCTAATCCCAAGCCCTTACCCAGAGGCGCAGTCAAGCTGAAGAGCACCATCCCCACCAGGGGCCAGCAGTTCTGAGAGCCTCCTTCTTCATTTCCACTTCTCCAGGAGGTACCAAAAACCCAGATCCAATCCTCCCACCCTCCTGGGAACTGGAAATGCGCCCTGCTCCATTTCTCCCAGGGTACTGGGGGTGCCTGGTGCTCATGGACACCAGAAAGATTGCAAAAGTGGGAGGGGCCAAGCCATTCCATGGGGTTGCAGCGCCACTATTCCACTGGGTTGCAGCCCAGACACTCCTCTGTCATAGAGGGGGAGAGGAGGGCAGTGGCTGGGCCAAATTTGAGTCAGTGTCATTGCAACATGGTGCACAAGGTCACAGTGCCTCCCAAATTTGGCCCAACCTTCCTTCCATCTTGATGGGGGTGCGGCCTGCCCATATTTCCAGCTCCGGCCCAGAACCAAGGGGGGGCGAGGACTTAGTCCCCTGCCCCCCCCCCTCATTGTGCCATGAATAACAATATCATTCAACAAAATAGACCTTTTTAAAATAGTGTTGGCCAGAATAGGTAAGTCCTTATGAGAGCCCTAAAGATTTAGTCTCAGGCTAGAATTTTATTTAACAACCTAATTTTTAAAACAAAGTTCATGGATACAGTGACAAGAGAGAAAACTGCAAAGCCACAGCTTCTAAATGTCTTGGGAGTGCTAGCTGCCTTTAAGCCCCCTCAACCATTTCAGCCCCAATGCCAGCATAGATTCATTCTAGATTGGATCTGGATTTAATATAATTCCTTTTTCACTCAAGGCCTTCTCTTCCTTCAATGCTTTGTATGTTATGGGGACTCATTTTTAGAGCAAAGTTATCTAATATACAGTATTGTTACTACTTTGGACCCAAGTGGGGAGCCCAAATTGTGGTGCTGTGAGTTGTTCCAGATAGGAGGAGAACCTGATGAGAGTCAGGTATTTCTTTGATGCAGTTTTGTTTATTTGCAAAGAATTACAAAGCCCCATTTGCCTGAACAAGGAGGAATTGAACAATGGGAGACAGTGTCCTTGCTTACAGGTCCAGGCCTTTTTCAGCCAGCATCCCAACCCAAAGCCTCTCTCTAGGCTTCTCCCAGGGCCACATGCTGTGCTTCCAGGCTGTGCCTGCTTGGTTTTCTTTCCGCTTCTCTCTGTCTTGCTCTTTACCCCCCCCCCCCCCCCCCCCCATACCCTTTATCCAAACACCCCCACACACACACACACGCACACACACCCACACACCCCTTACTCAAACAATGTAATGGCCAGCAAACGCCCTTAGCCAGCATAGTTCAAATTTCTGAGTGAACTCACATATGCTTTTGTATTAGGTGAAGGGGGTTTAAATTGTCTCTTACAACTATCTTCAAGGGCAGTGGTTATGCATGACCCATGACAACAAGGTTCAGCCCAACTCACAACTGTATGAATAAAAATCACACACACAGAGAAATCACATATTTACAACTATTTTAATTAGAACGATATTTTTTTTAAAGTACAATTCAGATTATTTCCAGCACAAATGTTGGAGGGCATATGAAAGTTGCAAGGAAGCACTTTTTCATCTAGATTTTTAATAATAGGTAGCAACAGCTATTTTAGCATTTGAATCGGTATCAGACATATTCTAGTTCATTAATAGTACATTTAATGTGTTCTTTATAATGCTTTACTCAAGTGATGTTCATTTTCCTTAGTGTCCAAGCTGCTGATACTACGGTGCCAATTTGAATATGTAGGTTGTCTCTGGTGTATTCTGCTTGTTAAGGACCTATCCAAAGCTCACTGAAAGCAATGGGCATCCTTCCATTGGCTTCAGTGAGCTTTGCATCAGTCCCTAAATGGGGAACATGAGCTCTCTTAGGGTATGTCTACACTACAGGATTAATCCGAATTTAGATAATTCGAATTTGGGAAACAGGTTGTATAAATTCGATTGTGCACGGCCACACTAAGCACATTAATTCGGTTTTTAACCACATTAATTCGGTGGTGTGCGGCCACACTACCCCATTTATTTTAATCACATTAATTCGGTGGTGTGCGGCCACACTAACCCTAATTCGAATTAACAAAATCGATTTTGACGCTACTCCGTTCGTCGAGGTGGAGTACAGAAATCGATTTAAAGCGCCCTTTAATTCGAATTAACTGGCTCTGTAGTGTGGACGGGTGAAGGGTTAATTCGGATTAACGCAGCTAAATCCGAATTAAAGTCGTAGTGTAGACCAGGCCTAAAGTGCTAGAGAAGCACTAGCAGAAGGATTTAAGAGCCAGCCCTGAGGTATGGGGTGGCTAGATTACTTATAACTGAACTGTTATGTAAAGTGGTACTGTACAGTATGTACGGGGCAGTTGGTTGCCTCTGTGGCACCACACCCCATCCCCAAACCCTAGGCCGCACTGTTTATTGGGACAGGTACCTAAAAGGAGGAGAGAAGTAGTAGGAGCTGGCAAGCTGGAGAAGAAGTTGAAAGACTGAGGGAAAGGGTGCATCACCCTCCCATGAACATTACCCAGAGACATTATCCAGAAAAGATAATAGACCCTTGGGCTATGCTACCTTAATGCATACACCCTCTGTACAGTGTGAAACTCCTGTAAGAGGGGCAGGCATGGTCAGGGGAAAGCCCGATAGCTGTCTCCAGTGGAGCTGCACTTCCAGGAAGCAGTGGAAGGGGAAAAGTTACTAGGTCCTCAGAGCTAACACAGGCCTTCGTGCCTCTTGTAGATTCTTCGCAATCAGCAGAGTTTGGGGCTAAAATCAATACCCATTCCACAAGATGCAGACCCTGCACCTGTCTCCCATGGAATTCTGGGAGAAAATTTGTTCTTATGTTCTCCTTCCCATAGGTATCTCTGTGGAAGGTGGTGATGTAGGCCAACATTAGCAACTGTTTAACACTTCCAAGTTAGTTTTCAAAATACAAAGTGAACTGAAAGTAGCATGTTAGGCCACAAAGTGTTGCTGAAAAGACAGCTAAATTAAAGGAGATAGGAGAAGGAAGATAGAGGCTAAATGTTCCAGGGAACCTGGAATAAAGTAAAAGTAAAGCAAAAATAATTTATCAATAAATATATTTAAAATAGTAGAGGAAGTGTTTTCATAGTCTTTCCCCATTATTTTTTGTTTTCATTCTACTAGTTACCACTTTTCATAGTGGAAGAATATGCTGCACACCATACCCAACTACCTCCACCAACTTCAGAACATTGATTTTTAAAAAGTTCTTTTTTAAAAAAGAGGAAAGGAGCCATACTGTGAAAACAGCAAGTCCCGTGAGGCTGTGAATGAATAGCATACTATTGTACTTCTAATGCACTCTAGGTGGGAGCAGCAATGTATGGTAAATGGATTATACATTATACATAAATATGATTGACAAAACTACGAAAATAATCCATATTTGAAGGTTACAACCATATCAGCTACAATAAGAAATTAAAATATATTTACATTGTACATAACAGTTAAAACACTATAAGTAAGTCATGAAGTGATGGTGTCATTTTCTGCTTTTACCAGTTCTCTTTTGAAAATGAAAAGTGAGTAAATAAAATTAGAAGACAAAATATGGGTAATAAATAATTACAAATAGCAGAATCTTTTCTTTTTCTTTGTACAGGAATACTTAAAATAAAGGCTAGTGAGAAGGGAAGCAGATGGAAAAGCTAAAGCAGATTTAGGGCTCAATCCCAAATTCTTAATTTAGGAATAACTTTTACTAGTTGTGATGGAATATTTGCCTGTATATGGAGTTTGGAAATGGCTAAGTGCTCTTTATGTGATCTCTTCCTGGACAGGGGTTACTCTCATGAGTAAGGGTTGCAAGATCAGACCTTCAATCCCTAAAAACAAGGAATGGGGAAAACTAACTATAGATTAGATTCTCATTTGTTCTTTTCATTGACAGATGACCACAAAACCACCTCTTATACCCTGAAGAAATTTTCCTAAAAAATCAATCCAAATTTAATTGCTCGTGTATGATGTTAAATACCGAGTGTTTGGAACACTGAAATGAATAAAATTGTATAGAATAGCAAAACAAATCATGGTTGACCTCAGTGCTTTATGACATTGGACTGTTGAAAAATGACAAAACAGCAGACAACTGAGAGAAGCATTTCCATCAGTCAGTATGATTCACACCCATGTGGTTAGAGTTTTGTGAAAAGATTCTCACACCAGGAATATAGTACAAGCTGGTGCAGTTTCACTAAAACGTGAAACATTTTGTAGGTTTTCCTCAAAAATTGTGCTAGTTTTTCATGAAAACATAAAGCATTTTCCACAGGCACAAAACAAAAATGTCCTGCCATTATACAACAAAAATGTTACAATAATGAAAAAAATAAGACCTTTCATCTGTGAAAATGGCAAAAAAATTGTTTACAAGCAAATATGGGGAAATTATTTAACTCAGAGGGCAATATTCTTACTCCATTCACAGGAAGAAGTTGTGTTTGCTGGCAAAAAAGAAAATGTATGCCTGATTCCCCAATACAAAAATCTCAGTTTGCCTATGATAACCCTGGTGAAAGGAAAAACAACCATTTCTGTAATCCCTACCAGCACTGTGTGATGTTCACATTGCATTAGCATTATGGTGTAATCTGTTTAGGGTTTTTAGATCAATGATAATCTGAATACTGATTTTTTTTCCCCTATAGGTAAAATGTTTTATATATTCACAGACATTTTAATCTGTACTTGAAATGAATGTCATTAGTTGGTTGTAAAATACCCAGCCCTGCTCGGGATTGGTCTAAAGAAGGACATGGCACATTGCTGTCAAGAAGCTCGATTTCAAAGTATGAAAGTACCAAAGTCAAAAACTGTTTGATTTCATGGACAGCAAATAATCTTCCAGGACATTTTGCTATTCCTGATCCAAATGGCATGTAATAATATCTTAACTTGTGACCGTTGCGATAGAAGATAGTCTTTTCTTCTCCATTCTCATCGAGATAGCGATCATACTTGAATGTCTGTAATGAAAGTTGAAAGTTTAATGTCTATTAGAGCCAGATTATGCAGGGCGGGGGGGATGTGCAACCGCACTGACACAATGCCTCTTGGGAAGAGCACCCAATGCACAGTATGCTCCTCCTCTGTAGCTAGGGTGACCAGATGTCCCGATTTTATAGGGACAGTCCTGATTTTTGGGTCTTTTTCTTATATAGGCTCCTATTACCCCCTACCCCCATCCCGATTTTTCACACTTGCTGTCTGCTCACCCTATCTGTAGCTGGCCATGCCTCCAGTCCGCCAAACCCTTTTGGGAGAGGTTAGCCTCTGCAAGGCCCCTTACCCTGAGCAGCTCTTGCAATTGGGGTAGCAGAATACCAGCCCCTGTGCAGGGGCATCAGTGTTGGAAAGCTTTTCACACCTCTACTTGTCTTTTACTGACCCACACAGAGGACAGCTACAATCTAGCTTTTTGTACATGTGTCCAAATTGGAAGTCTTTCCCACTTCCCTCATCACCACTGTATGTCCTTAAGGACTTCCCCTTCTCTTGTCCTCACTTGAAACATCACAACATGGTGGCTGAGGAAGGTTGAAGGGAACTGCCTTTAAACCTATCAACACTACTTTTTTTCTCAGCCAAAGAATTTTCTGCAGAGTGATGGAAGGTCAGTGCTGATTTTGCTGCCTCCACTGCACTCCCCATCCCTTCCTGTTCAGGGAGTTCCCAGGCATAAATCCAGGACCTGTGTGGTAGAGTGAAGCACGGGGGCACTGAGGCCTTATTAACCTTATGCCTTATTAACAGGCAGTTAACATCTCCTGGAACAGGGAGTTTGTATGTCCCTGTAATTACTCACCAAGGGATCAGCATAGATGTCTGGATCAAAGTGCAGCAGCTGAGGATAAAGAGCTACAATGTCATCTTTGCGGATGTTGTAGGAGTCGTTATCCAAATGCAAAGTGAAATCCTCCTTAGCAACTCTGACAGTCATGGATGCACTGGACAACCTCATTGCTTCCTTGATAATACTATCTGTAGAGAGAGAAAAAGAAAATGATTAATATGAAAAAAAATTATGTATCCCCTTGAGGGGTGGGGGGGAGTTGCACAGTTTAAATTGCCTGTAATCTTCTATAACATGCAATATTATGGAGAGAAGGAAACTGCTAAAATGAATAGAGCAAAGAAAACAGCGTAAGAGGTTGATAAAGAGAAGAATTCCCCTAAGTTTTATTTGCAACCATCAAATTTCATTTAATATGGAAACTATTTTATTACTAATATGGAAATTATGCATCTTCATATATACGTATATGAATAGCACATTTGCATTGATTTTATTTATACACACACACACACACACACACACACCAGTTCTAGCCATTCATATTGTTTTGGAGCATAAAATGTACAGGTTAAGTATCACCAGAGCCTGCAATACATAACAGACCACTAACTGGTGAAGCACCATTGTTGGACAAAGCACTGAGAATATAAAGTAAGGAACACTGTTGCAGTGGCATTCAGAAAGGAGCAGCTCAGCTCAGTCTGGGCTGACTGAGGGAGGAGAGCAATTGAGTGCAGCAGTCTCCTACTGAGAAGTCACCAGAACTCCAAGCTGTTGGGACCAAGCCTCCTAAGCAAGCTGCTGGAAGCCCATCAATTACAGGAGCTGAGGGTGACAACTCACTGTCACCATGGGAAGAGGCTCCGGAGATGAACTGGGGAGGATGCTAAGGGAGATCCCAAGACTGAGTTGTGACAGCAACGGAAGTACAGGGAACAGGGGTAGGAAATGACCCAGGGGGCATGAGTAAGTGTACCAGATCCTAGGCCACATATATGGTCCCTGGGTCAGGCCCCAGTGGAGTGGGGGGGGCTGGGTTTCCCTACCCCCTCTCCTTTGGGACTATAGCCAGTAGGCAGAGCAGCCCTCATCTCTCTGGGCAATACTGCTGTGATCTGTAGCCACTAGGCAGAGCGGCCATAGACACTTGGCACTAGGCATTACTGCCAGTCTAGGGCACCCAGGCAGCCCTCAACAAATGGTAATAACATTTCCCTAACTCGATTAGAAGTAGCTCACCTATTGCATCCTAGGACTGAATTACCCTTTTTCATGGCCGCATCACACTGGCGACTCATAGTCATCCTATGATGGACAAATACTCTGTTGCTTCCAACTGATAATTCTCCATCTTACAGCAAAATCTCTTATTATTCCCAAATTCATGATCTTGCACTTTGCACTATTACATTTCATCCTATTTCTATTACTCCAGTTTTCAATGTTGTCCAAATCTTCTTATATGATATCCTGGTCCTACTCTGCTTTGGTAATACCTCCCAACTTTGTGTCATCTGCAAATTTTATTAGCACACTCCCACTTTTTGTGCCAAGGTAATTAATGAAATAATAAATAAGACTGGTCAAGACCAATCCTTGAGGAACTCTACTAGTAACCTCCCTTCTGCCTGACAGTTCACCTTTCAGTATAACCTGTTCTAGTCTCCCCTTTAACCAGTTCCTTATCCACCTTTCAGTTCTCATATTAATCCCCGTCTTCTTCAATTTAACTAATAATTTCCCATATGCAACTGTATCAAATATTTTACTGAAATACAGGTAGATTGGATTTCCTTTTCCTAGAAAACTGATTGTCTTTGCAAAGAAAGAGATCGGGTTGGTCTGGTACGCTCTACCTTTTGTAAAACCATGTTGTGTGTTGTCCCAATTTCCATTTATCTCTCTGTCTTTAATTACTCCCTCTTTCAAGATTTGTTCTAAGACCTTGCATACAACTGAGGTCAAACTTAGCAAGCCATAGTTTCCTGGCTCCCTTTTTTTCCCTTTCTTAAGTATAGGTACTATATGTGCAATTCTCTAGACATAGGGTACGACCGCTGAGTTTATTGATTCATTAAAAATCCTTGCTTTTGGTGTTTGCAATTTCATGTGCCAGTTCCTTTAATATTTTTAGATGGAGATTATTCAGCCTCCTTGATTTGATCCCATTAACCTGTCTGAGTTTGGCTTCCATCTCAGATTTGGTAACTTCTACTTGCATATCCTTGTTTCCATTAGCCACCCTGCCACTGCCCCAGCCTCGTCAATGCCCTTATTAAAAACTGAGGCAAAGTATTCACTTAGGTGTTGGGCCATACCTAGTTTATCGTTAATCTTCACCCTGTCCTCAGGGTTTAGCAGTCCCACTTCTTCTTTTCTTGGTTCCTTTTTTATTTATGTGGCTAAAGAACACTTTACTATTGGTTTTAATTTCCTTTGCAACATCCAGCTCTGCTTGGCTTTTGGAAGTTCTCGCTTTATCCCTACACTTTCAGACTTCCAAGAGGTAAGAACATAAGAATAGCCATAATTGGTCAGACCAATGGTCCATCGAGCCCAGTATCCTGTTTTCCGACAGTGGCCAGTGCCAGATGCTTCAAAGGGAATGAACAGAACAGGGCAATTGAGTGATCCATCCCCTGTTGTCCAGTCCCAGCATCTGGCAGTCAGAGGCTTAGGGACACCAGATTATGGGGCTGAGACCCTGACTCTTTTGGCTAAAGGTCCATCAATGGCTAATCTTCCATGAATTTATCTAATTCTTTTTTTAATCCAGTTATACTTTTGGCCTTCATAACATCCACTGGCAATGAATTCCACACATTGACTGTGCTTTGTGTGAAGAAGTTTGTTCTAAACCTGCTGCTTGTTAATTTCATTCAGTGACCCCTGGTAGCTTTTCTTGCCAAGCCATCCCTTCTTCCATTCCTTGTGGTCTTTCTGCTTTCTCTTAACCCATTTCAGATGCTTGTTCATCCAGTTTGGTCTGCAACCTTTCCCTATGCGTTTTTCTGAAGTTTGACTTCAGTCCAGTCAACTTGCCTAACTAATTCTCTTAATATTTTAAAGTTTTCCCTTTTGAAATCAAGGACCCTAGTTTGTAGACCTATTTTTGTTTATCATGCCAACTTCAAGTGTTTAAAAGACAATTTGATCCTAAAAAGAAAACTGTGTCCTGGATCACTCTTCCCAGGGAAACAAACAAGGAAAGGGGCTGGATAGGGAGAAAACTGACAAGATCCCTTTGTGGCCTCCCTCTAGAATTATTCTTCAGCAGGATTTTCCTCACCATTGTGGAAAAAGAACAGTTCCACCACCTGAAATTGCAGGTCCCTCAGTACGCAGCTCCTAGCCCTACCTTCAGCTCTCCCCTACCCAACCACTCTCCAGCTGTGGGCTCCTACTCCCCTGGAGGATTTTGGGGATGGGAGGATACTGCAGCAGAGGTGGCTGACATCTCTTTGCCCTATGAGGGAGTAGTGAGATCTGTTCAGAGGCAACACTCTGTGCTGATCATCTTGGGAGGACACTCCACTTTCCTCCCAGGGAAACGTTAGAAACTGGAGGCACAAAATACTTGAGACTGGGGAATGATCCTGCACTGAGATGTGGAATGGAATAAAGACGATGGAGAAAGATGTGGAGAAAAAAAATCAGAATAGTGTGGCAGTATCTTCCTAAGCCTTAGTGCTCAAGGGAGGAGAATGATATTGACAAAAAGGAACAATGCTTCTAAAAAAAGTTACATTGAACCTCCCCACACCAGTAATTATAGGGCAAAAATTTCAATAGCTGTAAGGCCCAGATCCTCACAAGTATTTAGGCTCCTAACTTTCATTGAAATTAACAGGGGTCTAAGTGACTTGGGGGTGAGCTCCTCAGTCACTTGGGTGCTTTGGAAAATGTTACCCATATTTTAAAAAATATGCATCATAATAATAATGCTTTTAGTCATGTTAGAAATTCATTGTTTAACATTCCTCAAGCATTAGTTACAACTCCAAATATGATAAGATCCTTCTGTTTGATCTTAGCCCTTTTAAAAAAACAAAAACAAAATACAACCTTACTTTGACTTACCTATAGATCACTGGTGCTGCATGACATAGTACTTAAGCATAACTCATACATGAAATTATATGGGGAAAAATGGGATTCACTTCAAAATTATGATAATCCCCACACCACAGACCTCAGGACTGCTGAGAAATTTGGCCTTTGCTAACTAAGGATATAGTGTAGCTTTATTATCCTGCTGTTGGATAGTCATTTAGCATTTCATAGCAAATGTTTTATTGACTATAGATAGAAAAATATCTGGGTGTTCCTGGTAGTGTTACATGTGATGACCATACCTAATACTGGCATATTATCCAGTTGTTTTCGATTCAAGGAGATACATTTGCCATCTAAGTCGATCTTTTCACCAGCATTTCCCAGTGTTTTTTGCACCTCTTCAGTAGCTGCTTTCATTGCTTCTGGGCTCCTAAAATCAATATACCAGAAACAAAAATATTTCTTACTTGTAACTTAAGTAACATACAAAAGGTTTGCTGTTAAATATGATATTCATTTTTTCCTGTCTACAGTGTAGTTTGTTAATCCATGGATGTAAACCTGGTAAAACAAAAAAACTACGTAAAAATCTAGAGTAAAAATATAAGTATACTTATTATATTGGAAAAATCCTGGTTGTTCAAAACACTGAAAAGATCTTCAAAGATTTGGTTCAGTATCCAATTTTGAGCAAGACCAAATTAATGTGTATAATGCTGTTAAATAATGACATCTCGGTTAAGCAATGCCAAGAATAAGGAATATAGCGATCAATCCTAGATTAGGAGATAGCCCCATTGCAGCTAAAAATCTAGGAGAGAGATCATAGATCACATTCACATTATCAGCTGCCCTGGCGTGTATCCAGTTGGATAATTACATTCTGCCTACCAAAAAATAAAAATAAAAAAAATACCTCCCCGTAGTTTAAATTAAATAACGTAGCCTTCACTTTCTGGTCTTCCATACAGATATGGCAGATGTTTGTAATGGATGACATGATTTTAAACAGATATACAGGTTGTAATCCCACAGTCCTTGGGGGGGCACAGAACTTCCATGGAAATCAATGGGTGTGCCCAATGACTTCAGGATCAGAATTTGTAAAATTAATAGACCCCTTATGGATTTTTGAATGAAATGTGCTAGTTAAAGCTCAATCATTATCATTAGCAGGTAGGTATGGTGTTCTTTAATTTTAAGTCAATTTATGACAGAAATGTAGGCAGGCGGTGTAAAGGCTCATCTTGAAAAGTACAGATTTAGAAATTTAGCCTGAGATTTTTTTTAAGACATGTAGGGGATTTGGATGCAGTGGAGTTACATCAAAGTGAAAACAGGGTAGCAGAGTGAAGAATTAGGACCTATTAGTCAGATCCTAAGATGGTGCAAATTGGTATAGCTCCATTAACTTCAACAGTGCTACATCAATATAGGCTCTGCAGAAGCCTAGCTTTTTTTTTTCTGTAAAGCAGCCAATATATATCTGTGAATCCAAAAGATGGGCAGATAAACAAAAGTGTGCAATAAAACCTTGTCTATTCTAGGGAAACGATCTAAAAATGTCCCGCTGGACCTAATGTTGGGAGCCCTAGTGTAATCAAGGCTTCCACAGCCACTGGTGATTTTAATATTGTGTTGTTTAGATTTGCTCTGAAGGTTTAATTGACATAGCGTTAAAAGCATCTGTGGCTGCAGGAGTCTTGTCTATACCAGGGCTCACAGCATTGGACGAGACATTTTTAGTAAATGTCTCTAATGCAGAAAAACCCTATGTGGGACCATCTCCTTCCCTGGGCTGCATGAGCGGGGTTTCTGTGGGGGTCTTACTCATGCAGGACAAAATCCTGGGCCTGCAGAAATCTATAGGAGTTTTGCCATTGACATCAGCGGGACCTGGATTTGACATTCATCCAAGAGCAGAATTTGACCCTTAATGCTGAGACAATTTCTGAGTGGCAACAAAGCCAAGAAGTTATTTTACTTCGGAAACTGCAAACACAGCTACTTACCTAATAAGATAGAATAAGCTCCAGAAAGTAGCAGGTATTGTGTTAGCTTGTGAAGCCCATAGTACAGCCAGGTGGGTTTTTGCTTTTTCCTTATCATCAAAAGTCGACAGAGTGTCATTTAAGAACATACGGAGAGTGACGAGCTCAGAGATGTTGTTCCTTTTTCTGAGGTTCTCATGGAACAGAGCCTCTGCCAGCTTCTCCCGTGCATTGTGGGCGCTCTTGAACACATGGATAGGCACGCCTGCGACAAGGGCTGGGAAGATTTTATCAAACTCCTTGAAGTTTTCAAGAGCATTTAGAATAAGTGCTCTCTGGGTTTCCCGCTGAGATAGATTCTTGTCTTGGGTTGAATTAAACTCTGTACCAAAAAGCGTTAAAAAGCCAGATTCAAACATCACCCGGCAACAGAACGCGTAAAGCCCATCTGTTACCCAGTTGTTGGAATGCAGTTTAGATGTACTTGATTGCAGCATGACATATTGTAGGTTTTCCGTCATAGCTTCAATGAGGGAATTCAGGGCATTACCTTGCAGGGTTCTAATGAAAGTCTGGTGCATATTTTCAGTGGTGTTTCCATCACGTGGGTCAATACTCCCATGTCCAAAAGCCTGCCACCAAATAAATTGCATGTAAGATAAATGAGGATCATCACAATCTTGGTAAATAATCATTTACAAGGGAAATCATAGCCAATATGTCATCTTCATAATTTAACACAGGGACATATAGTAAGAACCGTCAACTCTGTAAAGTGATAATTGGCCACAAGTCTTCGTAAGTATTAAATAAGCACACAAAAATAGTCTATGATATATGCTTATACATAAATAAGTACGATCACTTAGGGTATGTTTGCACTCCAGTAAAACATCCACGACTGGCCTGGATCAGCTAGCCTGAATGTCTACACTGCAGTTTCATAGCCTCACAGCCCAAGCCACGCAAGCCTGCCATGGGTGTTTTATTGCAGTGTAGACATATCCTTAGGGATTCAGTTAGTTCCCATTGGGAATCTTTTCACTGACTTCAATAAGAGTTTGATTGGGCCCTTAGTTGACCAGATAGTTTTTAAAGGGTTAGGGCCTAATTCTCCAAAGTGCTAAGCATCTCCTGAGAAGTGCTGAGTGCCCTCAATTTCCATTGTCATTAAAGGGAGTGAACACACTCTGCAGCTTGCAAGATAGGGACCTTACTGGATGAAAGCACAGACAGAAAATGATGTTAAGCTGCAGTTAAGCTTGAGAGTACATTTCAGCAACTTAACGGTAAAAAAATTACAAGGATATTGTATTTGTCCCCAAAACAAGCATTACAAACCCAGGCAATTGAGTTGAAGTTTAATTCAAAATAAAACTAGACACATTAAGGTATGGTAATTCACAGTGAAGGCACCCAAGCAACCTGAACTCTGCTGTGTAGTGACACCATGCAATAGTCACATAAGGTATGTGTACACTGCAATTAAAAACCCACAGCTGGCCTATGCCAGCTGACTTGGGCTCATAGGACTCGGGCAAAGGGTCTGTTTAGCAGCAGTGTAAACATTCCAGCTTGGGCTGGAGCCCAGGCTCTAGGACTCCGTGAGGCCGGGGGGAGGCGTCCCAGATCTCGGACTCCAGCTCAAGCCCGAACATCTATACTGCATTTAAACAGCCCCTTAGCCATAGGTGGCACGTGAGAAGCTCCCTAGCAGTGGGGGGGCCCACCGGCGCCTGAACTATGGCCCCGGCCTCCACTCCATCCTGAGGCTCTGCCCCTGCTCAGCCTCTTCCCCGCGAGGCTAGGGTGACCAGATGTCCCGATTTTATAGGGACACTTCTGATATTTGGGGCGTTGTCTTATATAGGTGCCTATTACCCTCACCCTCTGTTCTGATTTTTCACACTTGCTATCTGGTCACCCTACCTGAGGCTCCGCCCCCACTCTGCCTCTTCGCATCTTCGCTCTGCCTCTTCCCCTGAGGGCCCTGCACCTGCCACTCGCTCCTCTCCGCCCCCTCTCCCAAGTCCCCCTGCCCCCTGTTCTCTGCCCCCTCTCCCAAGGACCCCTCTCCCAAGGACCCCGCCTGCTGATTGCTCCTCTCCGCCCCCCCTCTCTTGAGGACACCCCGCCTATCACTGCTTGTCTTTCTCTGCCCCTATTCCCGAGGGCCCCCCGCCCACCACTCGCTCTTCTCCACCCACTCCCCCGAGGCCTCCCGCCCACTGCTCACTCCTTTCTGCCCCCTCCTGCCTTAGGGGCAAGCGACAGGGGCAGAGAGAAGCAGGCAGGGGGCTTTTGGAGAGGAGGCAGAGTGGGGGCAGGAAGAGGCGGAGTGAGGGTGGGGCCTCAGGGGGAAGAGGTGCAGCGCCGGTGGGGCCTCAGGGGGAAGATGTGCAGCGCGGGTGGGGCCATGGGGGAAAAGGCCAAGTAGGAGCAGGGCCTTAGGGCAGAGCATGGGAAGGCCACAGTCCAGACACCGGTGGCGCCCCCACTTCTCAGAAGCTTCCAGCAGCAGTGCTCCAAAGGCGGCTGGCCAGCCTGACTCCAAAGGGAGGTGTGTCGCATCCATCATTTCTTGCCCTGTTTGGGGAGGCTTAGTCTCCACAAGCCTCTTATACCTGCTGCCCATGCCCTTAGCCCAAGCCTCACGAGCCCAAGTCAGCTGGCATGGGCCAGCCACAGATGTCCAACTGCAGTGTAGACATAGGGTAGGTCTACACTTACCCAGTAGTTTGGCGGCAAGCAAATGGAACTTCTGGGTTCGACTTATTGCGTCTTGTCTGGACGCAATAAGTCGAACCCGGAAGTGCTCGCCGTCGACTGCGGTACTCCAGCTCGACGAGAGGAGTACGCGAAGTCGACGGGGGAGCCTGCCTGACGCGTCTGGACCGAGGTAAGTTCGAACTAAGGTACTTCAAACTTCAGCTACGTTATTCACGTAGCTGAAGTTGCGTACCTTAGTTCGAATTGGGGGGTTAGTGTAGACCTGCCCTTAGCCTGAGTTATGATTAAGGCATTTTAGTGTTTGTGGTCTGAGATAAGATTAAACTGATTTGTAAAGACACATTCTATTTTATAGAGGTATATTTGCTTCTCAGGGTGTCATTGCAAGGCAAATAAAGGAATAAATCAATAGTGACAAAAGTCATTACCACCTAAGTGTTGTTTGAGGTCCTCAGTGAAATGAGTGTGTGGATTAATCTAGAATTTAGATTCTAGGACACAGGCTTCCACATTACACAGCCAACACCATAACTGTTATTCTGTTGGCAGAAAGGCCAAGATTTGAATGGGCCTGAATGAGACTTCCAGAGGTGATCCCTCCAACTAGTGACTGAAGAACAATGCTAGGCTAATGGGAAGAAACTTGTACTGATGGGAGTCTATGCCAGATCTGCTCTGTGGATATACAGAGGATTTCAGTTTCCAGGGCTGCTAATCTGGCATCTTTCACAAGCAGTACATTTGTTTTTAAAATTAGTCAATTCAATATAAATTCACAATAGTGCAAACCATCTTGTGCTGTACTTTTGTTCTAGTATTTTTGTGAGATTACATAACTAAATAATGTCATTCTTGGATAGGGTGACCAGACAGCAAGTATGAAAAATCAGGACAGTGAGTGGGGGATAATAGGAGCCTATATAAGAAAAAGACCCAAAAATCGGGACTGTCCCTATAAAACCGAGACATCTGGTCACCTTATTCTTGGATAACCTAAATCTGTTTTTGCAAAACCCATTGTTATTTATATTAAGGAATAAAATATCTGACACATTGCCATGGCTGGGATGATTTAGTTGGTGTTGACCCTGCTTTGAGCAGGGGATTTGACTAGATGACTTCCTGAGGTCTCTTCCAACCCTAATCTTCTATGATTCTATGATTTGAGCCAGGAGACAAACTATCTTTCAGACAGACAGACATACTGAAAAGTCACATATAGATTAACTAGGTACAGAATGACTTGACCATGTTGATTTTTTCATAGTAAATATTAAAATATATTAAAATACTACAGTTATTGTAAAGCAGTACCTTTGCAGAAGCAGCGAAGTGGAACTTTTTCCAGTCCAAATGCCTTCCTTGGCGCATCACTGAATGGTATGAAAAAGGGTCAGTGAGAAAATGAACATATTTTCCAGCCACTTTGCAAGTGAAAATGTGCCCATATTTCTTTTGTCTTGCTTTGAGAAATTCAAGAGGGTTGGCACCAAATTGCAAAGCGCAGCCCAGATATGGAAGTAGCCCATTTTCCACTGGCGGCTCACCTGGACGCCTACAAGTTACAAACAAATGTTACAAATTAGGGTTATAAATTAAGACCTGTCCTTCAGTTTGGCCAGCTAAATAAGATTGTGATACCAGTTTATTTATAACATTCAGTTTCTATCAGTGTTAATGGGAAATTGCCCTCCTTTTCATAATAAATCCATTATGAGGTCTATAGTATATTAGAAAGAATGATCTTAAGCCTACAGAAGCCTTATTAGAATCCAATAATAACAAAAAATGTACTTAAGCTATATCATTCTAGCTTTTATTTTTTACATTTGGGTAGGTTCTTTTTCACCATTTAAAATGTAACATTCTATTCATTGCAAGCAGAATTGTGCCTTAAATAAATACCCCGTCCCAGCAGTTAATATTGCCTGGGATATTCTTGTTGTTGGAGCCCATCCCAGTACTTTTCAGGACCTGTGGCAAAGCTTGCTCAGTACAGGAGCTCTCCTACCTGAACTGATTTCTCAGGACAGTCTGCCAGAGCCCTAGTTTGGCAGCTTTCATGGCATGATGAAAGGGCCATTTATTTGCTTTATCTTTTGGTTACTCAGTTTTTGTTTGTTTTTTGTCATTTTATTTGCTTTTTCCTGACAACCTGTCTGCTGATATTTCTGATTTGTAGGTAACCTGCTGTAGGGCCCAGTCTTACCAACCCATTCTGAGCTGAGTATAGAGAGCTGGTCTCCCAAAAAATGGTTTTTGAAACAAATGAAAATATTCAGGAAAAGTTTCACTTTTGGTAGAAACTCTCCAGTTTTTCAACAAGAAATTTGAAACCTGAAAAATTTCTCTGTTTAAAAAAAAAAATAAAAAAAATCTGTGTTAACAAACAAATTAAGATTCATTTTTGGGGACACTAAAAGCTTATACTAAAAACCAAAATGTTTGCTGTACGTGGGTTTTGAATATGAAAAGTGTTTGGTTTCCAGCTCTTCAGTGGAAACTATATAAAATTTTCATGGGAAAGTTTAGACAACCACTTTTTTGAAAATGTGTTGTGAAAAATAATTGCCAATCTCTTCCTTATAACATGCAAGTAGTCCCACTGACTTCAATGGGATTATTCAGGCAAATAGGCAATCCTCATGTGAGTAATGCTTTGCAGAATGAGGTCTAGAATTTCTGGTTTGTAGTTTCTGTAAGTAAGGATCCACACTTGCTCTCATTAAAGTCATTGGCTCAGCTCTCATTGACTTTATCAGGCAATGAGCACCTAGGGCCTCATCCTGTTCCAGCAGAAGTCAGTGGCAAAGCTCCTTAAGTAGCGTAGGTTCAGCCCCTCTAGAGCCTGATCCTAGGAGTTGCTGAAGACCTGATAGTTGCTTCAGTGTCCTCAATACCACTTGGGAGTTGAGGATGCATGGCACTTTGCAAGAATCAGCCCCTTAGTTGCTCTGCAAATTCTAAAATAGATAACATTACCTCAAATACACACTCAATTAAGACTGTATAAAAAACAAACTTATTACTAACAGTTCTAATGGACAGAAAGAAAGGAGGAATTGAAGATGGATGAACAAACATCATTTGGACCTCCAGAGACACGAAGATGGGATTATTTCATTTATTTGGTCGGTCTTTGGCTTGCAAAATTCTCTAGCACACTGAATGCTGAGCCCTTTGAACCCACCAAAGAAAGAGTATTACAGCATTGTTTGCACATTCTACTTGGATCTGATCCTGCACCATTGAAATCAATGGGAGTTTTGCCCACAGGCCCCATTTCAACAAAGCACTTAAGCACATGCTTAAAATTAAGCATGTGATCAGGTGCTTTGTTGAACTGGGATCCAAACAACTATATTCCTGGATATGGACACCCACAGTAAGTCACTAATAACTTTTAAATACTACGTGTCAGAGTCATAGAGTTTAAAGTCAGAAGGGACCACAGGGCGGTCTGCGCCGTTAAGCACCTGCAGCGCTAGGGAGCAGCAGGCTGTGGTTTAAGGAGAAGCCCAGCAAGCACGTGTTGGGAACTAGCTGATCTAGCTAAGCAGCAGCTAATGACTGGATCTGATTCTCTGCTGGATCAGCTGGTTCCCAAAAGCTGCCTGCTGGGCTTCTCTTTAAGCCACAGCCTGCTGCTCCCTAACTCTGCAGACCCTTAAAGGGGCAGACCATCCTGCTACAATCACCTCTTAATCTAACCTGTATAGTATAGGCCACAACACCACCCAGCACCTGTACACTAAACTCAACAACCAAGATGAAGCCAAAGTATTACAACTTACAGAAGATCACTATTCCCCAGATCAAAGATGCTGCTAACATTTCAGGCAATCTGAGTGAAATTTCAGGAGTTTCAAGTGGAAAGGAGTAGCTAACAGTTTGGTACACTTTAAAAACAGAGCGTGATGCAAAAGACAAGTCAAAGAGACACTTTTTATAGTAAATATATTCATGAATTTCTTTGTTTCTGTACAGAGCACATGCCAGTAGGATAAAGGCTTGAGAGTATTTACTCAATACAGTAAACAAGCCAAATGGTAATCAGCATTAAAAGTAGGAGTTCAATATTGCTACAGTCCAGATTAAACTACATTGATACAGAAAATAAAATGGAAAAAGGTACAAGGAATAAAACAGTCATCTGTACATCAGAAGCATAAACATGTAGGATCTGATTTCTCAAAAATAGTGAGCACCTGCAAATCCTATTGATTTCAACAGAAGCTGCACATACTAAGCACTTCTGAAAATCAGACCCAAATTATGATTATTTATAATGGCATTTACAAATGGATTCCTCTCTCTTTGTATCTCTGTCTTCTGTTAGTCATGAATATGGATTTGCATAGCCTGCTTGGTTTTTGTTTTTTTTTAATTTATGTACACAAAAATGCCATTATAATATAAAGATTTCAAAGAACAAACACCAGCATCACCACTGTTATCCTTTACTTATCAATCTGCCAATGTTCAGACAAGTTTTATCTCAGCTATATACACACACTATCTTTTTACAGAAATTAGCGTTGGGATATGTTTAAAAAGAAACCTTACCTCCTTCTTATTCCCAGAATAAACCAAAAACAACAGCATAGTATCACCACTATTCCCCAGATCAAAGATGCTGCTAACATTTCAGGCAATTACAGTGAAATGTCAAGTCAAAACGAGTAGCTTGGTACACTTTAAAGACTGAGAGTGATGCAAACGACAAATCAAACAGCCACTTTTTATATAGATCAGGGGCACCAATTTACTTAATTGAACTTAAATAACCTAGGCAAGCTATTAATTAACCATTTCTGGACAGAAGCTATTATGTCTTCATTCTGACTGATATCTCCATAAAAAAAACTTGAGAGGATTAATCTATACAGTTGCAGAGATGGCCTTGAGCTGGTATCAGTAGAGGTTCCAAAGTAATCAAAGAGCTGTAATAGTTGATAATTTGAAGGTCTCTCAGGTGTGTTTTGATCTGTCATGTAGATTTATCAACTATAGTTTATAGTTCAAGTTTAGCAATACATGAGCTGGTGCCCCAAGTACTTACCATAGTTCCCTGACTCTTCTGCCACGGTACCCTACTCACCTAATGCTCACCCTGCAGATTGACTAAATTTTCAAGGGAGTCAGGGGAAGATTTTGGCTAGGAATGAGAGATAAATGGGAAGAAAAAGACTGTTTTCCCTCTCCAATCATCTATCACTGTCAAACTGAAAAGCATTGACACAGTTATAGCAGAGGGCAGAGGTAGGAGAAAACAGCATTAGCTCATTTTGCTGTTTCTGACTAGTCTCAGCCTCCCTCTCCCTCCTCCAGTCTAGCTCTTACCTCCTGATCTATCTTCTTCCCCCCTGTCTGTACACCACCAATTTAGTCAAGATCTTGGCTGGATCTGGGCACTCTGGTCCATTCTCTCCACTCACCTACACTCAATTCTGCCATTTCCCTCCCCTTTCAGAAACTTTGACCCCATCAGATTCTCCATCTAACCTAACCCATTCCTGCTCAGAAATCTCCTTCAGCCTGACCCCACAATATTCCAGATCTTCTTTCCCCTTAGCTCAAAACCTAGAACTCATCCTTTCCTACTCATCTCACATATAGCTCTGAAGCCCCTCCCCCTTTGACCTCACTCTTCCCTCTGGCTCAAAATCCAAGGTCCTGTTCATCTAAACGTCCAGGCTCAAAACCTTTTCCTGTGCTACCTACTTCACTATAGACGCAGAACTTCTGGAGCTCAGAAACATCCTTCCATCCCACCTGACTCAGAAACTGTTCCTCTCTCATCCTTACCACTCTGTACCCACCTACCCCTCACACACACACTATTAGAACCTGTCTGGGGCTGCTGACTGATTCTTGCTGGCTCACTAGCACCATCTTGGATAAAAATAAGTGGGAGTGGCTTTCTGGGCAGAGGTGACTAGGGTCTGAGACAGAGAGGTTCTGGAGGGAATTCCTAAGAGCAGCCTAGCTTATTCTGTTATTATTATTTTGACTCCCAATAAAAGAAGAACCCAGGGAGAAGGGTCAGTCTGAGCACTAATCCAGTATGTGTGCGTGTGTGTGTTCTGATATCAGGGTACTCCCTCTGCTTAGCGAGGGGTAAGGATTCAGAGTAGTCACCTACTCTTTGCATTCTTTAGTGACTCAATGGTAGGTTTTAGGGGCCTATTCTCAAGAAATGGAAATTCAATCTAATCTTAAAGGGAATTCCACTGAGAAAGGGCTACTTGATTATATGACCGTGTCATTACACATCTGCTTTTTCTTGTCAATAGTCTGATTTCCGAGTGATATATTACAAGACCAAAGGTAGAGTAGTTTATCACAATGAGGACACTGGATCTCCAATGCGGAAAAGGGAGTGGCTGTAATATTGCTGTTATAATACAACTGTAATCAATAAAAATTAAGCTTTGATTGTAGTTCAGACTCTTGCCAATAGGAGCTCAAATCTTGGCATCCCACCAATATCAGCAATGGCATTTGGACAATTTAGAAGATTCAGATAGTAAGTGATATCTCATCAGTCATTTGGGACCTCACTTATTTTTTTTAAAAAAAGCTGAAGATCTACAGTCATTTTGTAGGCTCACCTCTGTGCTTATTTTTGCATGTGCCCTTACAGTAAATGAACATGAAATTGGGTACATGTGAGCACTTTATCCCAGCTCACTATATGGTGATTGTCATTAAAATGCCAACATTTTCCAGTAGTTCTCAAGCTTTACTGTCTAAGACACAACAGTATTTCCCTCTACTTAGAACATGTGTTGAGAAATAGCCCTGGCACTAAAATGTTTTATAGCAATTATCTGGTTTGTATGTAAATGGAAATTCCTGATATGCACTTGCAAGATATAGTTAGAAGATATGTGCTTCTAATGGTTTTGCAAATTTATGCAAATGTATACACATTTACAATCTACTACCATTTTGTTAGAGGGTATCACAGGTGTGGTAGCTGTTCACAGTATAATTATTGGATGTAGCAGAGGACTTAGCCCACCAGCTTCATATCCTTCCATAAAGTCCTAATTGACTCAGAAACCCTGCTAACTCTTCTCCACCACATGAAAAGCATCCCAACCTTCTCATTCCCACCACACCACACAAAAGTGATGAGTTGGTTAGAACTGTGTAAAACTAGTGTGGATTTTAGGAATTTTTGGGGCGATTCATTGTGTGGTTTTTAATATTCATCTAATTTTGTGAACCATGAAATTTTGAGGACCCAGAGACTTTTCTTCCTTTCTAAATATCATGTTGTGCAATTCACTTCTATGTGAAATTTCCCACTCAGGAGATTTGCTCCAGAAGCATGGTGGAAATGTCAGTGGGAGTTTTCCTTTTGTAAAAGTACTGCAGAATTTGGCCCTTGGGCAAAACTCCCAGAGCAAAGCCAGAGTCAGCAGACTGAAAATCTGATGGATAGAAATCTCCTTATCCCACGTCCCCTTGCTCCAAATTCCAGGCAGGCTGTGGGGCTGCAAATAGCCCTTAACTATGCTATTGTATTTGAGGCAATTTTAAATTTTCTTTAACAAAGAAAAAAATCATTTAAAAAAAAAGAGTTCCCTCTCTCTGTCTGAAGGCTGTCTCCTTCTGCATGTCAGCTGAAAGTTCGATCTCACATCCCTTTGTAACTAAGCTTACAGGCTACTCCTTATATCCTCTTCTGGCCACCACTTTGTATGACTCATGTTCCTTACTCCCACTCTACCAAGCTGGTAATTTCCATTATGGGAAATTTGCACATTGAGCAATAAGATAAAACCCTTTCAATTCTGGATGTCACTTTATGCAAAACAATGTCTCTCTTCTTCCCATGTACAGGTCTTAGTCTTTTGTTTAGCAAAACATTTTTCAATAAATAAGGGGCGTGTCTGCAAAAATTTCTGCCTCCTATGAGCTGGAAGGTCATCTAGCAGTAATAGGATTTATTCATATAACAGATATTGACCTATTTTATTTTAAGATCATTGGCTCACGACAGCATAATACATACATCTAGATAGTTCTGTCACACCTGCTCCTTATTTCCTGACTTGTGTAGGTACAGTACAATGCGATAATGTCATTATGCCTTTCACAAACTGGATTCAGCTACTCCAGAAGAAGGAGCAGCAAGTCTAAAAGTAGCAGCCTTTTGATTTCTCCATGTACTATAGAAATCAAATTGTGCAAGGCAGGGAATTATGGAGAAACTTGATGCCAGTCTGTCAGGAATCAGAGCCTGCAGCAGAGCCAGTCTGGAAGAAGGGCTGGGAGCTGAGAGTCTCCAGGCAACCTAATAAACGCAGCTGGCCTATAACAGGCTGTCTCATTGGCTTCACCACCTGATTGGTTTGAAAGAGTCAGGAGACCAACTCTTAAGCCCAGCAGCAGCAGCAGTTCACTGGCTGCTCAAAGCATTTGCCCATGGCTGTGGTAGCTCCTACTTCTGCCTAGCATCACTCCAGGTAACTAGGCACAACCACCCATATCCTGGTCACTGGCACCTTGAGGAGTTACCTTGATCTGGTGACTCTGGATTCTACAAAGGACAATATCTCTCTGACAGAGATAGTGGAAGCCCTACAGACCTCGCAGGCCCATGTTGCCACCCTGCAGGTGCAGAATGGAGTCATGCAAGTTCAAGCCAAACCTCCTTCAGTTCCAAACCCCACTGCCAGTGAGCCCAAGCTCCCCATACCTGACAAGTTCAATAGCAATTGCCACACTGGGTTTTCTGGGTTCCTAAATCGGTATCTGCTCCTATTTCTACTGTGACCACAGTTGTACCCCACTGACCAAGCCTGAGTGGAATTGATTATGAGCCTGCTTACTGGGGAGGCCGTGGCTTGGGTGTCTCCATTCCTGGAAAACTCAAGCCCCCTTCTGGGACAATTTGAAGACATTCTTTGAGTTTTGGCAGTGATCTTCAGTGATCTGAGACATGAGTATATGGCCGAAGCCACACATCAGGTGCTACCGCAGAGAGGCTAAATATGCAGCAGAGTTCCATGCTTGATAATAGATACCAAGTGAAATGAGGCTGCCTGGCATTATCATTTCCAGCTTGGCCTAAATGATGATATTAAAGATGAACTGGCCTGGGTGGAATCCCCGTCCAGCCTGGATCCCTTAGCTGAACTATGCATCAAGATTGACAATTACCTGACTGAATGCAGCCAAGAAAAAAGATGGTCCTCCTGGCTCCTGCCAGCCTTCTGGCTCTGCACTCCCATCACTACTCCCTTCTCTGTCACCTGAACCCATTGAAGTTGATCCTCAATTTTGGCAAATTAGGGGATGGCTCCAGTAACTGGTGGACTGGGAAGGTTATGGTCTGGACAAGCAGTTTTCAAGTATGTAAAAGGTTGTTATAAGGAGGAGGACAAGAAACAATGGGCTTAAATTGCGCAAGGGCAATTTAGGTTGGACATTAAGAAAAACTTCCTAACTGTCAGGGTGGTTAAGCCCTGGAATAAAATGCCTAGGGAGGTTGTGGAATCTCCATCATTGGAGATTTTTAAGAACAGGTTAGACAATCACCTGTCAGGAATGGTCTAGATCAGGGGTGAGCAACCTTTCAGAAGTGGTGTGCCGAGTCTTCATTTATTCACTCTAATTTAAGGTTTCGCGT